ACGACGACGACGACGACGACGACGGCGACGACGACGACGACGACGACGACGGCGACGACGACGACGACGAGTCCCTCTCGCCCCCCGCCGCTGTTGCCACGTCCGCCGCCGCCGGAGTCACCGCAGCAGCGGCAGCAGCCGCCGCGGCCCCCGCCGCGGCCGCCGCGCTCCTCCCTCCACGGCCTGCCGCAGCGCCCGCGACACCGAGGCGGCTCTGGCGACGGCCCCGGCGCCTGCGGCAGCGGCGCTCTCCAGCCGGCGGGGCACGGAGCCGCGCCTCGCGGGGGCCGCGGCGGCGTCGCCAGGAGGGGAGGGGCCTCCTCCGCCTCCTCCTCCTCCTCCTCCTCCTCCTCCATCCTCCATCCTCATCCTCCTCCTCCTCCTCCTCCTCCTCCTCCTCCTCCTCATCTCCTCCTCCTCCTCCTCCTCCTCCTCCTCCTCCTCCTTCTACTCCTGGAGGAGGAAGGACGAAGAGGCGAACGACGACGATGACGATGACGAGTCGAGAGGGAGGGAGAAGGGGGAGAGCGGGAGAGAGGGAGGTGTGCGCAGAGGGATGGGTGAAGGCGGGGGGCTTCGACAATTCGAAATGTGAAGTCGCCAGCCTCCAAGCCTCTCGAATCACTCCATAGAGCTAGCTTTTCATCATGAGTCGTTCCTTCATCGTCCCCAGAAGCCAAAATCCGAGAAAACCTCCAGCGCACGTTGTCACAGTCGCCAGAGGAGGGAAGAGGAGGGGGAAGAATCAGACACCATCCTGTGTGATGTCGAAGTCTGGAGGAGGGGACGAAGGGGAGGAGGAAAAGGTCCCAAGCCTCCAGATCCGAAAGAGACAGCAAACGTCCAAAAGCCTTTATCCGCGACCCTTGAGAAAGGGGGAGAAGAGGAGGAGAATGATGATGATGATGATGATGATGATGATGATGATGATGATGACGACGACGACGACGATGATGATGATGATGAGGAGGAGGACCTGAGTGAATCGAAGATGCATAAGCGAGGCTGCAATACAACCTCCCGTCCAAAGTCCCCCCCAATCGCCTCTACGAATATTGTTGCTTCATTCCAAAAAGCGCCCCCTTGAGAGATATCATCACCAGCACGCCTGCCATTTTGGCGAGGGGCTCGTTCTGAAATGGAATCGCATTGCATCTTTCTTACGCGTAGTCGGGAACGCGAGCAATATCATACGGTGCAACAAAGAGTCTTGCGATATCCCCTTTTCGAAGAAGGGCTGCCCCCAATGCGTGCAATCGCCTTCTGAAAAATTGTTCACTGGTGGCCGTGCGCTTCGAGGAAGTTCCCAGCGACGGGCCCATTGAAAAAAGAAGCCGCAGTGGATCCGCGCAGCCCTACGCCCGTTGCAGTTTCGAGCCTGCAAACCTATCAGAGCCCCAGGTGATAATTCAATGTTGAAACAAGCTGCCCACAATCCTGCCAAATAAACGCTGCCCGGAACGAAGCGACAGTGCTCATGGCGCTGGGGCGACAGCCCCATTTTAAATTTCCCGGTGGCGTGCCCAACCCTGTGTTATAGTATGGCACATGCGAATAGACAGTCATACATACATACATGCATGCAGGCAGGCAGGCAGGCAGGCAGGCAGGCAGGCAGACAGGCAAACTTACATACATACATACATACATACATACATAATTTGAATATGGGAACGGACAACACGCTTCCACAGCTGACGCCAGCCCCTTCACCAGGACCTGTGGCGGACAATCAAATCGCGCTACAAAACCCAGCTGCGCAACCAACAAATCTCGCGCAAATAAATAAACGCTGAGACGATGTTTACCTCAGCGCCCCGAAACACCAACCGAGTAACCCAGGCACCCGTGGCGATACGCGGCAGTGACTGACCTGATGTTTACGCTACAGCAACATATCCCAAGTAAACAAAGCACCGGCGCGAAGACGAGGAGGAGGACGAGGACGAGCATGGAGGAAAAAGAAGAGCGGTGCCTTTGGCAGGTTAGCTCGGCGGCAATCGGATGCGGGGCGCAAGCTGCTTTAACAGTTTTAACGCTGGTTTGAGCGCAAACTGCTTTAACAGTTTGAGTGCCGGCTGCGCCGCAACTGCTGGCCACCCGTAGAAAGTTTGTGCTGTTACCCCGGCGCGACGGAAATGCCCGCGCGCAGAACCAAGCGTCTGTAGAAAGAAACGGGACGTGCAATGTGCAGGCATGCCCCGAGGCCTCGACAACCATTGACACTTCGTGCACACGAGGGCGAAGGGGGGAGGAGGGGAAGAAAAGGGGGGGAGAAACACGGGCCCTAAATTTGGATAGTGAAACGCCCTGGCCGAGTCCGAGAAGGGAGGCGCCTAGAAAAAGAGAGCTTCACGAAGATTTGGCACACAAGCAAATAGCAACGCACTACAGCAAAATCTCCGCATGCATAGGAAGGGGGAGGACGAGAGGAAACTTGCGAGTATGCGAACCCCTTGCCATTCTTCAGGCAGTTGCTCAAAATCCTGGATGCTTTTCACGCATGTATTCCCAATAGGCGCTTGCAGTGTCTACAACCTCCTGGCGCCCATGCCGACTCGCGTGGTGTACTCGGTAGAGGTTGTAAATACGGAGGCCCAGTGCACAATGGCATACGAGTCTAGCGTCGGAACTCTCGGATTCAGGAACCAGAACAAGGCGAGCTGCAAAACAAGCATGGCAAGAACCCGCAGTGCTCATGAGTTCCCAGAAGTACGCCGGAAAGCATGCAGGAGTCAGCAAGATAGAGCCGGATATATATATATATATATATTATATATATATATATATATATATATATATACATATATATATATATAATATATAGCATACAAAAATGTGCGGTGTGCGAAATACGTGTTCGGGAACAGCAACAGCTGCGAGGTGGGGGTTTATCCATATCCACCACTGGGGGCCGACGTCGCGGTGCCCTGGCGGGCGGTGGATATGGACCTCTGTTGGCCCCCGCGGGCCCGAATCTACCCGTGCCCACCGCCTGCCGGAGTCCCCGAAAATTGATCCTCCAAGCGGTGGCCATGTGTAAGTTCCCGCCTCGGAACAGAGCCGAGCGCTACACGCGCGAGAAAGAACAGCGCCATGCGCTCGCTCTATAGCAGAAAAGCGCGTCGCGCTGAGCGAAGCAAGCGCGCAGGGGTGACGTGGCGGGCCAGAGGCAGCCGCGGATGGTGGGCCGCGCGGACCAAAAACACAACGCTACGCGCTGCGTGGCGCAGCGACTCCCTGCGAGCTGCGGCGCGACAGCGCCGAACGCTGCGCGGCGGTGAACTGCCGCAAAGTCCCAACTGAATCCCCGTGCAACTCCACTCCGCGCGACCTCCCAAGAGCCCGCGAAAACGGCGACAACCACGCGCCTCGCAGCCCGGAGCCGCGAGGTCCCAACTGGATCCCCGCGCAACTCCAATCCGCGCGACCCCCCAAGGGCCCACGAAAGCGGCGACAAACCAAACTTCGCAGCCCCGCAGGGAGCCGCAAAGTCCCGACGGAATCTGCGCACCACTCCATTCCGCGCGATTCCGCAGGAGCCAGCGAAAGTGGCGACGGCAACTCACTTCGCAAACCCCCCAGGGAGCCGCGAGGCCCCCACTGTGTCTGCGCACCACCCCACCCCGCGCGACCTCCCAGGATCCCACCAAAAAACTTGCGACACTTGAGCACTTCGCAGCCCGGGGAGTCCCGAGGTCCCAAATCGGTCGTCGCACCACTCCACTCCACGCGCCCTCCCAGGAGCCCACGAGAGCGGCGACGGCCGCGCAGTTCGCGGCCCCCCAGGGAGCCGCGAGATCCCAATTGGGCTCGCGCGCCACTCCACCCCGCGCGATCTTCCAAGAGCCCACGAGAGTGGCGACACGCAGGGAGCCGCAGGGTCCCAACTGTGTCTGCATACAATTCCATTCCGCTGGACATCATTGGAGCCCACGAGAGGGCGACAGCTGCGCAAGTCGCAGCCACGCAAGGAGCCGCAAATTCCAACTGGGTCTGCGCATTTTTTCTCCACCCCGCGCGACCTCCCAGGAGCCCACGAAAGCAGCGGCGACAGCCGCGCACGTCGCAGCCACGCAGGGAGCCGCGAGGCCCCAACTCGGGTTGCGTAACACTCCAACCTGCTGGGCCCCCCAGGAGCCAACGAAAGTGGCAACGGTCGCGCAATTCCTAGCCACACAGGGAGCCGCGAAGCCCCCAAAGGGCCCGCGTACCACTCCACGCCGCGCGACCTCCAAGGAGCCCACGAAAGTGGCAATAGCCGCGCAGTTCGCAGCCACGCAGGGAGCCGCGAGGTCCAAACTGGGTCTGCGTACCACTCCACCCCGCTGGGCCTCTCAGGAGCCCACGACAATGGCGACAGTTGCGCAATTCGTAACAACGCAGGGGTGGGCGAAATCCCAACTGGGCCTGCGTACCACTCCACACCGCTGGGCCTCCCAGGAGATCACGAAACTTGCGACATGTGCACAATTCGCAGCCACGCAGGGAATCGAAACAATTTCGCAATTCGCAGCCCCGCAGGGAGCCGCGAGGTCCCAACTGGGCCCAGGTGCCACTCCACCCCGCGCGACCTCAAAGGGGCCCACGAAGGTGGCGACAGCCGCGCACTTCGCAGCCACGCAGGGTGCCGCGGAGTCCCCACTTGGGTCCGCGCACCACTCTGCCCCGACCCCCTGGAGACCACGAAAGTGGAAACAGTTGCGCAAGTCGCTGCCACGCAGGGAGCCGCGAATTCCAAAGTGGGTTCGCGCGCCACTCCACCCCGCACGACCTCCCACGAGCCAACGAAAGTGATGACATTTGCGCAATTCGCAGCCACGCAGGGTGCCGCGGGATTCCCAACTGGGTCCGCGCACCACACCATCCCGCTGGACCCCCAGGAGCCAGCGAAAGCGGCGAGAAATGCGCACGTCGCTTCAACGCTGGGAGCCGCGAAGTCCCAACTGGGCCTGCGTACCACTCCACACCGCGCGACAGTTGCGCAGTTCGCAACATCGCAAAGAGCTACGAGGCCACCACTGGGCCCGCATGACACTCCACCCCGCTGGACCCCCAGGAGCCCACGAAAGCGGCGACTCTTGAGCAATTCGCAGCCACGCAGGGAGCCGCGAGGTCCCAACTTGGTCCGCGCACCACTCCAATCCGCTGGACCTGCGAGCGGAAGCAGGGAGCCGAAAATCCGAACCGTCCGTCGGAAGGAGATCCGCAGGTTGAAGAAGGATGAAACATGAGCGGCTTTAAGTATTCCTCGACGCTGCCCAATCCGGCATCGCC